GTCAGAATAAAAAAAGGGGCTTGGTTAATCGACTCCCAAAAGTTGGAGAGTTGACTCCCAAACCCCCAAAACCCCCAAAATTCCCCTGTATTCCCGAATTGTTGGGAGTCAATCCCCCAAACCTGTCAGCGGGTTTGGGAGTCAGATCCCCAAGAATTTAAATAAATAAGATGAAATCCCCGCAGGGACAGAGTCGATGCCCCAAAACCCATGATTTGGGGTCGGGAGCAAAAAGAGCGCCCGACAGCCGGGAGGAATCTCCCGAACGCTGAAGCACACCCTGACGCAACCCTAACCTAACCCCCCATGAAACAGGGGCCATTGGATCTCCAACAACTCCGCCAGGTCCCCAATGGCCCCACAATACCCAGGCAGATGAACAACTACGCTCGAACCTGTCCAGGTACTGTGCCTCTCCTGGGCTAACCCTAACCCTAACCCCCTAATGCTCCAAACCTAACCCTAACCCCAAAAACCTGCCCCCTAACCCCCATCAGGGGATAGGGCCAGTGGGAATTAAACCCACGACCTGCTGGATGGTCAGATGCTAGGGCCAGTGGAAACCGCTGAGCTACAGAGACTTGGTCTCTGACAGTGTTTTTGGAGATCTATTCAGCTGGGGGACCCAGCTCCAGGCAGCTCACCCAGCTCTGGCAGCTCTTTGTTTCCAAACCAAAAATAATGGCACCATTTTCTTTGGTTTGGAACCAAAGAATTTGAGTGACCCAGGTGGTCCACTCTCAACGGCCGAGAGAAACACTCTTGGCCATTGAGTGTACACTCTCGGCCTGACTCTCCCTGACTCTCAATGGCCGATAACACTCTTGGCCATGAGTGACCAAGTCACTTAATTGTTCATGTTCCAGGCGACCAGTGGTAATTTGATCAGAGTAGCTACCAGCTGGAAACTTAAAACAAACAAAAGTACTAGGAACATGTGTACACCCATCTTGGGTAGGACAAACTGGAACACAAAAACAAGATTGATCAGTTTGTTACAATTGTTGTTTGGTACCAAAACCAACAGGATCTTTGAGAGATTGTGACTGACTTGATTCATCCTATCACATAGATTGGATCAAGTTCAAAAGATTGGAGACTCTTTGAATTGAATTGTTTGCGAGAGTGAGAGCAAAGGTATAGAAGTATGATATCTATAAGCAAGGTCAATGATACATACATTCCAAATACAAGAACATGATGATCTGAAAAAGTCAAAGCCCAAAAGAGAAGAAAGAAGAGAATCAAGTAGGTTAGAGCTCAGTCTTGACGGCAGGGTGGGTTTCTCTTGGCTGTTGAGAGTGTACTAACTCAACGACCAAGAGAAACACTCTTGGTCATTGAGAGTGTACACCCTCAATGACCAAGAGGTTTCCTCTTGGTCATTGAGAGTGGACATCCTTGACGGCTGGGAGAAACACTCTTGGCCGTCGAATGTGTGCCATCAGCGGCCAGGAGGATTCCTCCCGGCCGTCGGGCGCTCTTTTTGGCTCACCGACCCCCAAAACCCAGTGGGTTTTGGGGCATTGACTCTGTCCCCCACCAGGGATTTCATTTTATTTATTTAAAATTTTTGGGGATCCGACTCCCAAACCCGCTGACGGGTTTGGGGGATTGACTTCCAACACTTGGGGAATACGGGGGAATTTCCGTGGTTTTGGGGGTTTGGCAGTTGACTCTCCAACTTTTGGGAGTTGATTAACCAAGCCCCTAAAAAAACATCTGTTGAAATTTCAGCTTCTTACTCATGCCTCACTCCCTTTCTTCTTGTTTTGTCCATTTCTTAATATGAATCTTAGTTCAAATAAACTCAAGGATCTACTTACTCATTTCCTGAAGTCTTCTCCTCTATAGTCTGACACAAATACTGTTCCCCAGCTTGTAGTCATTGAACCCTTTCTGAGGAGTGTAAATCTTATCTTGTGTCTTTCTATGCTTATCTACTAGGTTATATTCAATTCATGTTGGTGTTGAAGTCCTACCCAATAAGTTTTTTTTTCTTTATTTTTTGCATTGCTTCATTCAATATTCACTCAACCAAAATTCTGCCTCATGTATCTAGTCTATTTATTCCATAGTCTAGAACATGAAATCAAACCTCATTGGTTCTCCTCATTCTTTTTTTGCCCCAAGCCTGTTCCAGTCAGATCAAACATTTGCTGCCCTTTATCCGTGGCAAAAGGAGACATTCCCCTTGATCATACTATCTTACTAATGATATGTACTGGTTTACTTGACTTTTGGTTTAGGGAACCCTATCCTGCAAACTGGAATCAGAATTTTTCAGATACAAATTCATTTTTAGAATTCATGGTTAGATTGTTAGTTCAACATAGAGATAAATTCACTGATTTTGATCCATCTTATGGATATGATGGAAAATCTTTCAGAAGACGGAAAAATAAAATTCTAATTCAGTTTCTTTCTTTCTTTCTTCCTTCTTCTTCTCTACTTCTTTCAATTTCACCTAGATATCTGGTTGAAAGTTCAAAGGAATATTTCAATTTGTTTGATCAATTTGTTTCCTGTTGCATATTTCAGGAATGATTCAGTTTTTGTTTTTTAAAAAAAAATCTTTGAATGACTAGATCATCTCAAATACTTTGTAGATTGATGCAATCTCACACAAAATGAAGATTAAAATGATTTTCCCTTTGAGTAAGACAAAAATTTGTAAAATATAAGATCTTTTGATTCACATAAGTTCCTGACTCTAATCAGAGTAATCTGGATGGTCTTCTTGATGGCCTCTTGCAAAATCAATTCAATCAAAATCACAGTATAAAAAGGGATTTACCTCATGTCAAACATGTTTTTTAACTAGCTATTTATTTCACATACCACACTATCTACCTAATCTGTGTTATGTATGTACAGGGATAGCTCCTAGAAGATAATAGAAAATAATTTCATGAAACAATAGGACAGTTCACGTCTGAACTTTGAGGCAAATTTAATGACATTTATCATTAAAATTTTACAAACTTATCAAAAATCTCAAATTCCTCTGAACTTGATGTTTCATGAAATTTGACAAAATTCATAAAATTTTATCTTTAAGTGCGTTAAAAGTGGCCTTAAACTCCAGACGTGAACCGGCCTAATGTGTGGTGAGGTTCCGTTCAAGCACAGGTGCACATAAGGCAGTGACCCAAATGTGGACCCTGGGGTCTTGCCCCAAGGTGTGACCCTAGGGCTCAGGGCATTCAGATGAGTCTTGTGGACAACCAGCCAAACCCCGGGGCGTTGACTTTTCTTGCTTGCAAACGGATTTCACATGTTTTTTTCTTTTGTGGTTGGAGGTATTGAAAGCTGCTCCTTGGGTCGGTGAGCTTGCTCAAACGGTAGTTTGGGAGGGAAAAAAAGAAAAAAGAAAATGAGGAAAGGATGATATCGGAATAAGCAACCCAGAGAAATGGGTCTGGAGGACTTCCCGTCGGATCTGGGACCCTTGCAGAAGTCAATCTAGAGCCAAAAACTTTTAATTCTTGCAGGAAGATTTGAATTTCAAGGCTCTAAACTGGCTCTGGGAGACCCGCAGATGTTGAACTTGACGGGAAGTCCTCCATTAAGCTCTCAGAAAAGAAAGTCATGCCCCGAGCCTAACTAGGCCTCCACGGCGGGAGCGGGAGCGAGCAGCGGAGCTGTCCACGCCAGTGGAGGCCTAAGACAAATGTGACGAGGCCCGCGTGCTGAGTTTTCAAGATTGGGCTGAAAACCGCAATTTTCATCTTGATCCTTATGTAGCTGTCGTCTCATCGACATGTGCTTGATTTCCTTCCCAGGCCATGAAGGCCTGCTTCCTACTCTTCTTTTTGTGTCTTCAGTTTTTTTTTATCCTATGTCGCTATCCTCTTAATGATCATTGAAAACGATCACTTTTTGACTGGACTTACCGATGCTAAGTTAGATTGCCCCGCTTTTTTTTTTTTTTTTTCAATGATTTGATTTTAATTAGTAAGCCAAGTAAAATCACACCTGGCATAACGGTGTATAACATCACAAGTTGATTGTTGAAAAGACAAAGGATCGGTCAGTCGGTTACTAGAGAAAGCGACTCTTGACCATCCGCAATCGTTGACAAAAATCACAAAAAAGGACCCGAAATAGAGAAATCGAACACTACCGGGAGAGGAATCGAAGCAAGACAGCATCGACCGGCACGACCGGTCCTTCCTTTTGCAACGAGAGAACCCGGAACGAGACAGGCACTACGGGCCCTTCCGTTCGCGACGAGAGAACTCGGAACGAGACAGGCACTACGGGTCCTTCCGTTCGCGACGAGAGAGCTCGGAACGAGACAGGCACTACCGGTCCTTCCGTTCGCGACGAGAGAGCTCGGACCGTTTGCGGACCGGCGCTACCGTGTTTCCGTTCTTTTGCGACGAGAGAAGTCGGAAACAGACAGGCACTACATACCGGTTGTTAGAACGAGACAGGCACTACATACCGTTCTCACCATCCTTGAATCAGCAAAACCCAACCTAATCAAAAACTCCCCATCCTACAAAAACTGCAAAAACAACTGATACTTCTAGTTTCTTCTTATTCAAACGCTCAACAACATTTGCATGTGAAGAAGAGAAACTAGTAAGTAATCCAATCCTTCAACCAAAACCAAACCCAAACAAGAACTAACATGGATTTTTCACTCTTCTTCATTTCTCTTTATCTTTCTGTATCATAGATTTAAATCTCTTGTGTGTCCTTCCAAACCAATAAAAATCAATCAATACCCTTGCTGCGCTCGTGCAGGTATGCACCATCATTTGTTTTTCTTACGGTCTCTATCATCAAAATTTATATGTTTCTCAATCATCTAATGATTCATGTTTTCTTTATTTCTATTATTCTTTTTCTATCATGTCAGGTGTTGTTGTTGTCCTTCAAACAACTCCAACTCATTCCATTCTTATTATCAGGAATCATCCCATTATTACACCAGTCCTTCCTTTTGCGACGAGAGAACTCGACTGTTTGCGGCGAGCTGAATCAGAGAGAGACAATCTCAGCCGTTTCTGTTTGCAACAAAATGAATCGGAGCGAGACTGAACGTTCCACTCCAATTGCCGATGATTCTAGCCATGAGGAAGATTCCGATTCCGGGCAAAAAACCGCAGCTTCCAATCCAATTGAAGATGATTCTAGCAATGAAGAAGATTCCAATTCCGGTCAAAGAATCACAGAGTCTGAGGTCATTGATGAGATTGCTGCTCTTAATCGTGGAGAGTCTCTTCCGGACGAGTTAGCCAGCTTAAAATTGCAAGCAACCTCAAAGAAGAGAGTCACCTTGCGCCAAGATATCCTAGAGCTCAATCACCAAGAGCTCAAAGAGCACATCCGAGTCGAGTCCAGAAATCTCTATGGCGATGAGGCCAAGGATGAACAACTCGAAGCTGTAGCCGCCTTAGTCCATGACCGGCACACGTTCGTCCTTGCAGGTACTGGTTTTGGAAAGACTCGAATAGCAGAAATGTATCACAATCTGTTTCAACCATATCAAAAGTCTATTGTATTGGTCTTGAATCCTTTGGATTCACTTGGAGACAATCAGGTCTGTATTTAATTTTCCCAAAATAAATAACTACTTTGGATAATTTGGAATCTTACATTGACATTGACATTGTTACTGTTATCTTTATTTTTGATAGGTTGAAGAAAAAAAGAAAGTAGGAGTCAATAATAGACATATTAAAGCAGTCAACTTGACCAGTAACGTCTTGGATGCAAAAATGGCGAGGAAGATCATTTCCGGGGAGTTTGAATTTGTTTACCTGGTGAGCTACTCAGGTCTAAGAATAAAATAAATTGCAGTGGATCAAAAGAAGACAAAATGTAGAGTTGGAACTGACCATAGATTTCTTATGTAACAGAGCCCAGAAGCCTTGCTTAACAATGAAATCTTCCGGGATGTATACTTTCATCCAAAATTTCAAAGCCGGCTGTCCTTGATTGTCGTGGACGAAGCACATATGGTGTATGTGTGGGGACTTGTTGCCAATGGCCAATCAAAAGGGCTTACCTCCCATCTAAAACATGGAGAGCGTGGAGTCTTCCGACCAGGATACGGTGAACTGGCTGCTAGGTTGATGGCGACCAATGGAACTCCGCTGCTAATGATGTCCGCCACCTGCCGCCCAATCGCAATCAATAGTATTCTTGAATCATTCAAGCTTACCAGGCAAATGGTTACATTTGTTGAAGCTGAACTCACCCGACCGGAAATTCGTATGTTGCGGATCGATATGCAAAAGTCCCTGGCATCATCGGAAGACCTTGCTGACCTGTACAGTACTCAAGAGCAAACACCAGACAATGAGATCATACCAACATTAATCTATTCAACCACCAGAAACCTCACCGGACAAGTCCTTGATGTTGTCAACGATGCGCGTGAGGCAAATCAAGAAGACGATCCTTTCAGCACCTTTGCTCGACGCTACCACTCCATCACTGGTGATATGGATAAATCTGATGTCACTGGTGATTTCACAAAAGGCGTTTTCCCCGTGGTATCTTCAACCATGGCGCTTGGGTTGGGCCAAAACTGGAAAAGGGTCCGGTGCGTCATCCACATGGGCCGAGGGGACCCAGCTTCGATATGTCAGATGCTTGGACGTTGCGGGAGAGATGGTAAAAAAGGCCTGGCTATTATGTTTGTGGAGCCACATCGCAAGAACGGAAAGAACTCAGTCAGTGATTTCACCAATGTCGAGCTCCAGAACGACGACGACAGGATGGACGCGTTAGCAATTACACCAGTTTGCCTCCGAATAGCATTTTCGCTAGATAATCGGTATGTCATTTAAGTTTGATAAATAAAAGGGATAATACTTACTTTTGATCTGACTGTAGACTAGGGTACATTCCTCTGTCTTTTGACGATCCGAACTACAAGAGAGAGGCAAAACGTGAAGTTGATGCAGGCTTTAGTGAATGCAGCTGTTCAAATTGTAAACCCGAAAGCAGCAAATGGGTCATCAACAACTTTAAACAAGCAAACATCAACAATTTTGACTCGTTTATATCCAACTCACCGCAAGACATAGCCGAGCTGTTTCCAATTAGACAAGAAAAACAAGTGGCTGACAATCAAATTAATTGGGTTGAAGAATCTGGGAAAAAACCATTGCACGAGATTCTTGAAGCCTTCGCACAGGCATTGGTTCGGTACTTTTGCGATTTTTTCGATTCCGAGATGAAAGGTGCTGCAGCATATCCACCAGACGCCTACTTCAGTATCATACATGCCCGCAAGATTTCAAGAAATATCAAGCACCTTACTCTGGACAACATTGAACAGTTGATTGGGAATGAAATGTTGACCGGTCAATTTAAAATGTTGTTTGATCACATCACACTCTTTCAATCAACCGATTCCTACCAATACATCTCTCATCGTCAGGAAGAATTGGATGCTGAACTTGACTCGAAAGCAGCCCGATTGTGAAAGGAAAAAGAGGACGAGGATAACCAACGCGCTGAAGCCACAAGAGCCATCCAAGAAGCTGCTGCTCAGAAGAAAATCGATACAGCTGCCAGAGTAAAAGCCAATGCTGAGAAAAAACGTACCGCAAAGGAGGCAAAATTCATCGAAAGCGAGAAAAAAAAGGCCAAGAGAGAGAGTGACATGGCTTTCTTACATCAACTTCAGGCTCAAGCGGAGATTGATCGACAGAATACAAGGCCCGATGCTTCTGATCCTGAGACCTCTAAAAGTGTGCTTGTTGATGAATCAATGGATCCTGCTTTGCTTTAATTCATGATACAGAAAAAGAATAAAAATAAATATCTGGTTTGGGTAAAGATGAAAGGAAATACAGGCTTTTTGTTAGTTTTTAATGCATGTATTATTGTGACTGTGAGAAAATTCAACAATCATCATTTTCCAGAGGGCCAAAGTAATCTTCCAGTGAAATGTCAAGCTCGCCAGGTGAAATAGGAAGTGAAGAAGCCTCGTCAAACATCCAACTAGGATTGAGAAGGGTTTCAGATGGTCGGAAGCGATTTAGAATAGTTCCCCCTGTGAGAGCATCATTTTGCATGACTTCCATGCCTCGTCTCATAATATCAATATCTTTTCCTTTTAATTTCTTTTTGGTTTTCTTTTTACCTTTTTCTAGAGCTGGAGCTGGAATTGATGCTGTCTTTGTGGAATCCGTATTATCTCCAATGGACTTGGTGATTGCCATGCGAAGGAATGCATTGATTGACTGAAGTGTGAGTTGATGCTTGTGTGATTGATAATAATTGCAGGCACCCGAATCTTCCTTGATTGATCGAATTAAACGTTGCAGCTTCAAACAGATAGTTCAAAAAGGGTCAAATCAGCAAGAAGTATTCATGATTCAGCCAGGATTTAACTTACCAAGGGCACATTTGAAGAAAAAAGATCCCTCAATCGCTTAGCCTTTGTGCCAATACCGCTTTTGTTGAACATAAATTTGAGCCAATAGTTAAATGTTTCAAGCAAGAAATCCTTGGCCACAAAATGACCTGGCCGTCCACTTGGTGTGACAAGGAGTGAATGTTGGATTGCATGGCAGAGAGCAGGCGGGAGAACTTTCGTGATTAAGAGGATCATTCGAGGGAGGTGTATTGCATAGTGAGTTAAACCAGTGATGCCTTGTGCCATTACAGACCATCTCCGCCAGATATTCAATAATCGACCAATATCGCCTGCTTTCATTGCTCGATTGGCTTCGATGACAGTAGCAAAATCACGTAAGCGGGTCATGAGGTTGAAAAGCTTTGGAGAATCAGATTTGTCGGCGTTTTGGAGTGCCGTGCAGCCGAAGAAACGAGTGTAGCATAGGTCAATGGCATGGTTGATTGATTTGGCTGTTAATTTAAGCTTTTCGTTTGGTAGGCTGTTTCGAGGAATCCCCATGACTAATCTAATGCAGATAAGGTGTAATGTGAGCAAAGATTGAAGATGATAAGCAGAGAAGAAAAAACATACAGTAAACAGTGAATAAGTGTTGCTTCATGGATCTTCTGCATATTGGTGAGCATAAGTGTGAAGTCTTTTTTCGCAGCTGGTTTCTCCGACGGAAGGCCAAGGGCTTGAAGAGTCCTCCATGCTCCAAGATCATCCTGGTTTTTATTATTTCCAAAGTGTTTCAGGAAGATAGCCTGGCCAATATTCCACAAGGTGTGAGCGGCCCCCAAAAGCATGAAGATGTTTCCAAGGCTTTCTTCTTTGTGACCACTGGGTTTCCTTTGTGATCGCAAGCACTCTAGGTTCATAATCGTTCCAAGGTCGCCCTCCATCACCTGAAGCTCTGAGAAAAACTGTTCGGGGGTAAGATATGTTTGATCTATAATGTCGCTGAAGATTTTTCCGACTCCTTCAGCGCAGTTGTCGGATGCCAGCATTAGTTTGAGCATTGTGATCTGTGGTTTTTTAGCAGTAATTTGATCAATTGTTGGTGATTCAAGAGGAACAAGTTTCTTCGGATCGTCTGTTGTAGCTATGTAAGTCATCATTACTTGAGCAATTTGGCTCTTGATGGCTGCACGAAAGTGAATCTCCTCTTCGAATGTTGGCATAAACATTGGTGGTGTAATCTTCAACTTGGCAGAGTCTTTGATCGCCTGCTTGTAGCTGTCGAGCGAGAAATCCTTTGGATTGTGGCCTTCGATAAGAGTTGGATCAAGGGTGTGAACATACCCCCATGTTCCATGGAACATGTGGCTGGTTTTTTCAACTGACTGGAAGTGGATGCGTTCCTCAAAGTCGATATTATCGATACATATAAACGGAGAGATTGGTTTCCTTGATTTGATCGAGAGTTCTTGGCTGGCGAGGGTTTTACGGGTTGTATCACTTAGCCGAACCAGAGCTGAGAGACCTGTTTTTCTGGACATTGTAAGACCAATGTAGTGAAGGTAGCTATTTATTCGTTCTGTCACCCCACACGCCACAAAGATGACAGAGTTCCATAGCTGCATGGAATTTGCCCGTCGATTTTCTCCAAAAGCAACCATAGCACATATGGTTTTAGCAGTCTGAAAAGAATACAGAGACCACACCATTAGTATGGAGAAAATAAAGATTGAGAGGTGTTTGCCCACTGATTTTGCACGGGTCTCTCGCTTATTCAAAGATTCTTTCTTTTTATAATCTTTTGTAGGTTCGACTGTTGAAGAATTTTCATTGTCAAAACTGATTTCTTCAAGACTATCATTGGAGCAAGCGGATTCCACATCGTCATCATCGAGAATTCCAGATTCTTGCTTTCTTTTTATGCGATTCGTCAGCTTGGCTAGAAGTAAATTGTGTAAAAACGGCATTTCTTCTTCCACAAGGCTTTTTTCGCGAGTTTCCTTGGCTTTTCGAGTGAAGAAATTGTTGTCCACCTTTCTTGAGCTGTGATATGCGCCATTGGGGAAGGTACCACGTTTAGGAGACTCAGCAATAACATAGATCTTGGCCTGTTAAAAATATTGAACAGGATTTAATCAACACAAAAGCTGATAAAAAAGCGGCAAAAGTACAGAACACTTGCCTCCTTTAAAATCAAATCCTTCCAGAGATGACGTCCTGTCTTCTTCTTCATTGTGAGTCCTTTGATTGATTGAATTATATTCAAAGTTGAGGGCCAGCCGCTCTGGTTGCCCCAGTTTCCTCGCCGCAAGGCCAATTGAATGTGTCCATTTGTGAGGAAAGCCTGGATAAACTTCTTGGGAGTCAGGCCAAGCTTTGAGATGATTTCACATATGTGTTGAACTTTTTGAAATTCAGTCTTCAGATGAGGTTGAAAGTGAATGTTCCGCATCTTTTTGAGCAATCTGATTGATAAAATCAGGCTAATCAAAATGCATTTCAGCATAAATAAAAATTTAAATACAACAATTAAAATTAAAGTACAACAAATAAATAAATTAAAATACCTGATGAAATCAGGAGCTATGTTGTGGATGAAAAGCACGGACAGTGTAATAATCCACCACTAGGACTAGCACACTAGACTTTTAATAAAAAACAAAAACAAAAAGGTCAGATTATTATGATCAACAAGAGAAAGAAAGATACAAAAATAAAAGAATACACACCTCTTGATGAACCACCTAGATTTAATCAAGTTGATCTTGAAGAGTACTGTCAGATTGCTGATAGTGATACCCACTCTTGAATTGAGGAAGATGTGGAGTGAAATGGAGTGATGAAAGAAAGGAAATGAGGATCGGTGTTGAAGGTCAGCAGGATTGGAGTGGGTGTTCAACAGGTGGGTGGTGTTTGACAGAAGTCTTGTCCAAGAGAACAAGCACCTGTCTGTTGCTTTGTCTTGACTGAGGGTTTTCTTTGAGTGAGCCGACGACGAACAAGCCGACGATAACGAGCCAACGACGAACAAGCCAACGACGAACGAGCCGACGACGAACGAGCCGACAATGAACGGGCCGACGATGAACGAGCCGACAACAAACAAGCCAACGACACAGAACAAGACGGATCCTGAACGGTTCCGTGTCAAACGAGCCGAGTCCTTTTGAACGGCTCCGTTCTGAATGTTCCTTTTTGAACGGTTCCGTTTCAAATTTGAATGGGAGTTGGAAATTGAATGATCAGTGTTGTTTGAGGAATCTTGACCCAGACATTATGAACAATGAACGAACCGATGTGTTTTATTGGTCTCGACGGAGAATGAACGATACGAATCCTATTCCTCTGTTTTGTGTCGACTGGACGTTTGGTGTCGAGAAGGTCAAGGTTTTTGATGAAAGGATGATTTGTTGAACTTTGACCGGAGGCTGTAATCTGAGGTTATGTCAGGTGATATGGCTTTTTTTTTTTTTTTGTCAATTATGTAATTTATGTTCTTAAGGTTTTTGACATACAAAAGTTTGTCCGATGAGTTAGTCTACCCCCAGGAGGATTTGCAGACTGGAATTTTAGAAATTTATTATTAATTGTTTTTGTGATTCTAAAACTTTGAAATTTTGCCTGATCAATAAGATCAGGCAGGTCTGTAAAAATCCGAGACCAAACATCAAAAAAGTGTTGAGGGAGCGTCAGGATTTCAAATCTTGTGACGCTCCCACCAAAACAATCCAAACTCAGCACCTGAGTTTGGTGACCTCTGGCCCAAGTCTCCCCTGCGGGGAGTTCCCTTCGGGAACCGCCTGGCCAGCGCTACGCTGCCAGATGCGCCCGCCGCAGCTGGAGACTTGTGATAAGTTCGGTCATGCCCAGGGGCTTTGCATTTCCAGGGCCTGGATGAGCCTCATACCCCATCCCGAACCCCGGGCCACCCGCTCAGGTGCGCATACCCGATCAACCGGTCCACGGCTTTCGGGGGCCCGCCCAGCCCTATGCTGTTCAAGTCAGGACCATTTAAAATGAAAAAAAAAAGATGCTGCAACCCACAATCCAAAAAACTTCCGCCACGAATTTCTCATCCTCACTCATCCTCAGGCTTACTGCACATAACATGACAGACCCATCTTCAAGCTCGTCTCGGAAGCGAACTCGAAAGCCTGGTCGGGCATCGTCGAATTGGAAAACGCTCCAAACGGTAGGTGATTTTTTCTTCCCTCTCATTAACTGTACAGCAACAGCATACTGAGTCAAAGTTTTAGGCACTTCCACAAGTACCAGCAGCGGTGAAAGCAAGGACCCTAGAAAAGAAGAAAAACCGAAATCAAGCGATCCATTCCTCCCGTACCCAAGCCTCCACCTCCACCACTCCATCAATAACAACTAGTTTGACATCCCAGAAGCTCCTCGATATCTTGCAAAAGAATCCTACCCAACAGGCCACAAAAAAACAAACAGAGTACGCAGAATTACATGATTCGATAGGAGGCGTCTAATCGTTTGGCTACTAAAACAGTCGCTTTGCTCTCGATTGAAAGAGTAGGAAAGTATCTGGCGATCGACTGCGAGATGGTTGGCGTAGGACCGCGAGGAAATGAACAGAGCGCCCTCGCTAGGGTGAGTATTGTCAACTACTATGGCAACGTCGTTCTCGATACCTACGTTCAACCCAAGGAGAAGGTCACCGATTATCGCACTTGGGTCAGTGGCATCAAACCTGAACATCTGCATAATGGTTCGTTACAACCTTCGCCTCCTCCTTCATTTCTTCTTGATTTTTTTTTTCATGCTCATATTCTTCGGTTCCTCAAAGCCAGTACTTTTGAAGATGTCACCCGCAAGGTCGCCGACTTGATTCACGACAAAATCCTAATAGGCCATGCGATTTCAAACGATCTTCAGGTAATTTTACTCCCGCTCATTCCAGCCACCCTGATTTTTTCATTCTCTGAAACTTCGCTTTTTCATGTTTCTCTCCTGCTCTTTCAATTGTTTTTTATCAAGGCTTTACTCTTGACCCATCCACGACAATTGATTCGAGACACGTCGACCTACCAACCGCTACGACAACTAGCCAAGACGAAGTTCCCGAGTCTAAAGAAACTAACACTACTTCTGTTAGATATTGAAATCCAGAAAGATTCGCATTGCTCAGTATGTTTCTTTCTTCCATTCCCTTTCCTTCCCGGCCATCTCAACCCCCAAACACCTCTGAAAATCGATGTCTACTTGATTGATGTGTTTATAAAGGTCGATGATGCCCGAGCCACGCTTGCGATTTATCGGACACAGAAGGACCAATGGGAGGCTCTTGTGAAGAAAGAACAAGCACGCCAGCCTCAGACACGTCCTGCGACATAATACTAGGGCAATTTGCGGGCATCAACCATCACTGCCTGAATGTCATCTTCACCCCGATGTATCTTTTATCACTTCTCCTACTCCTCATTCAAATCATCCCACACTCTTCGGCTTCCCCGCTCAACGTGCGCTCAACATCATCCAAACCCGTGGGATCGTGACACCCCAACCTGTACTTACCAAGCCGCCTTGAATCAAAGTAAATGGTCCCCCCACTAGACAGTCCAACCTACTTGATCAAGTCTTTGTGAATAAACGGAAACATGTGTGCCGAAAAAACCCTCCGTCTTGTGTTACTCAGATCTCATCTCCCATGACGCACTCACATCTATTCAGACCCATTCTTGCCACTCGTGCCTTGAGTGTCATTTGCCGAATTTCGAGAAGAACAAGAAATAACAATTTGAGTGATAAGCATCAGAGAAGTGAAGGGTGATATACAATGGCAAATCATTGGAGAGTATGAATGCACTTCTCGGTGCTTTGAAAGCCGCCAAGTCCATCCAGATGGTCCATATGCCTTCTTGAACAAGTATGCTTGTTCAGAAAAAGATGAACTCATCTTGAGTTTGAGGTTTCCTTTTGGTTGTTGAAGTGTTTGTTTTCTACATTACTTTTTCTTAAAGAATATACGCAAAAAAAAATATAAGGAAGGAAGGGAGATAAGAGGAAGAAAGGAAGAAGAGGATATTGTTCATGTTGTATTCTTTTGATTAAGAAAAGGGATCAAAAAGATAAAAATAGAAATGAAGGAGAACATTTTTGTTTTTCAAGTAAAGATCAGAAAATCAAGAGGAAATTGTCCTTCTCCCTTGTTATCCCCCATTGCTTGTGCCCCTCTCTCTTGCAGCTCTGCTTAAAAAAAGTAAGACTGAAAGAAAGAAAGAGGAAGACATTTCGAACCATAACACTAACCCACATGTCTTTTTATTTATAATCAGATGTTCTTGAACAAAGAACCAAGAAGATATGATTTTTATGGTGATTCATCATGAGATGACCCTATAGGGCTGATGATGATCCAGAGCAAGTGAGAGTGGATCATAATAAGACCTCATTGGCGAACGATCGAGTCAAAGTCTTATGAGGCAAGACAATACAACTTCTGACATGAACCTCGCTCTTGACCTCGACGTCTTTAGCTATCCATCGCGGATTTCACACAAGGTGTACAAAAGCAGGGGGAAATCATCAGGACAGATATCTAGGGTAAAAATGGGGAAATAGATGAGAAACTCACCCAAGACTGAGATGGTGAATTTGAGCGGATTGGCGTCGCTGGTGTTGGGGCAACCTTCGACTCGGGCCCAGGGACCGATCTTAGTATCCTCACTAAGGATCGAATGCATTACGCAGCTGTTTTGCTATTTGAGGAAAACCAGAAAGAGATGATCAGGAGCCTGGAAGAGGAGGGTGGGAAGACTGTTCTATCGGTGGAAAGAGAGAAACTTATTTACTTCGAGGAGACTGTTATCGAGAACAATCGAGTCCTTAACTCGGACCCCAAAGCCGATCCTAACATTAGCGCCGATGGAGACGTTAGGGCCGATCTTCGCGGAGGGGTCGATCACCGCCGTCTCGTCGATATAACATGGCTCCACAATCTCTGGTCCTAGTAGGTTTGGGGGCGGGGTCTTGGCAATGATCGTCGGCGATCGTCGGCGTAGAAGGACCGGGTTGTTGGACTTGTAGGATTCCAGAACTAGCGCATTCGCCGGTAAGGCAGACCTAAACAAATGAATCTCGTCTTAGTATCTATACTTTTTTTTCCTCTCTCTATGTTAAAAATGATTGGCTTACCCGGCTGTCTTGATCTGTTTCCAAAGCGACTTGGTCTCATAGACGTATAGTTTACCACGGTCTGCTAGTGGTGAGATGACGTCCTGTTCGAGTCGTAATTGGTCATCTTGACGAGATAAGGGGTCATCACTTGAATCGGGCGTAACAAGGAAGTCAGAAAAAGGCACATCATCTAGTCATTCAAAAAAGGAAGAAGAACGAAGAACGAAGGAGGAAAGGCTTACGCGGTCTGTTTGACCTTGAGATCCATGGCGGCCTTGATCTCATCAAAGATCGATTTATCGAAGAGATAGACGCCAGTGTTGATGATATTAGAGAGGAACGACTCGGGTTTCTCGACGTAATGGAGCGCCTGGGAGGTCTCGGGGTTGGTGACGATGCATCCGAACTTGGTCGAGAGTTCCTTGGAGACCCGGACGGCCATGAGGGTACCGACGCCTCGATGCTTGTCATGGAAGTGTTTGAGCTCGAGGAAGGGGAACGAGGAGGCTATGTCGGAGTGTAGAACATAGATCTGTTCTGGCGAGCCTTTTAGGATCGCATCTCGGAAGTGATACAACCCTCCTGCCGTACCTAAGGCTTCGTATTCACGCATGTATCTATGATGATCGATCGATCAGTTTTACTTCCCCCCAATTGGAAGCGGTGATAAGGAAGGAAGGAAGGAAGGAAGGCTGACTTGATTTGGAGGGATGGGAAATCCCTGCAGGCTTGCTTGATGAACGGGGCCAATACCGAGTCCTCGTAGAATCCGATGAGAAGGATTTCCTTGAGATCGGGGATCTTGGAGAGCGCCTGGATGCCATGCCAGATGATCGCTCTGCCGGCGAGTGGGAATAGCGGCTTAGGGATATCGAGCGTCAAGGGACGCATTCGAGTGCCCTGGAGAAGAAGACTCGGTCAGTCTTTTTGAACACCCCTTCTATCTGGGTCGAGATGGACTCGTTTACCTTGCTGGGACCACCGAGTAGATAGACTGCTTTCGAACCCATTGCGTTATTTATGATAATGTGTCGCTATTGGGGGGGGGGGGGTAAGGAGAGGGTTGGTTTTTTGTTTCTCTTTTGTTGCAAAGAGTAGGTAAGGAAGCGGTCAACAGGGTGGTGGGTGCTATGTAAGTAGGTTTGGGGCTGGGTTCAGTTGGGTTGGGTTGGTGTATGGTCAGCTGGAAATTGGGGCACAGCCAAACCTTGGCTTAATAATACTGCAATCCACCCACTTCAACAAATACACACATACATATACAGTTTAGCCTCATGTTGAGCAAATATGCACTCAGAGGATAATCTAAGATATTGCTGGATCGACCTTCATATGGTCGTTCATCGCAAGGATGGGAAAATTGTTCAACGACTGGTATGTATATCATGTTGTCCAGCTTGAGACCTGGGTTACAAGCAATTGCAGCTGATCAGGTTGTCAAAGTTGCTTTATTGACCCAGTCGACTGACAACCGAGCATTCTTCGGATGTCTTTCTCTCCTCAACATTTACCATCCTGATTCCTGGCCAGAACACTCCAGTTATACTCGACGTCGGATATACAAATACATATCACAACAACATAACTGTTAATCCCTACTGCAGATGTTTGTTTGAAAGATTTTTGTCAATACCTGGCCATTCGACTCGGATCATGACTAGAGCAGATTATTCTCGTCATTTCATTGAGAACAACAAAAATGGACATAAATAGATATCAAAGTTTAAGGAGTTATCAGGAGCACTTGGATGATCTCCTCCAAACATCTTATGAACCCGTCAAAACTCTTTCCTGTCGTGTCAATAAACCGTGCAGGATGTTGATCAATACAACCGGAGAGTCGAGACGCGTGACGCGTCGATCCAAGTTAACCTACACGTAGCGTCACAGTGCCACCCACAACCACCAGATGGTACATACTCCTGATCATGTCTCCTTGTTTACTAGACTAAAGATTCCGTAACTTATCTCGGCATGTTTATCTAATCTTAAAAAGGTCCGGTCCATTTAATAAAGAAATGCCATTTGGAAGAAGCTCACGGCGTGAGGCAGCGTACGCCAGAGCGCACCCGGTTGGAATTGCAGCTCAGTGGACACGACAAAATCCATGTAAATAAATAAATATGCACGGAGCCGTGTTTCGGCACCGAAGTCAACTGAATGTAGTCCCGGGAGCTGAGAAACCCCTGAAGCTCCGGGCCCAACGTACACTCCAACAGCTCGGAGAGTTTGCTTTGACACTGGCACATCGGCCATCAGTAATCTATAGCCGGACGCAAATAATTGGATCAGGGTCGGCCATGATTTATGTTGTATTTAGATAATACAAATAAATCGTCTGTCCGCCCAGGATCATACACTGGTGATCAGTAAGGAGCGGTCAAAGATCTGTCAGTGTCGGTCGCCGGTGATCAGAGACTGCTCCCGCGCCGATATCTGACTCGGTCAAGGATTCGTCAGCTACAACTTCATCGAGTCGGGGAAAGAAACGTTCTCAAAATACACGGGCTTATATTCGTAAAAAGGGCAAGAGGGAATCTTCGTCCACTTGGCATATAGAGCTTAACACGACTTTGAAAGACTTCGATCCATTCCGGTAGACGCCCCCCCCTCCAAAAAAAAGAGAAAAAAGATGAAGACGAGTCTCTGCTACCTCCTCTTGTATTTCTTCCAATTCCAGCAAAACCTTGTCTCACAACAAGTGGGCATCCACCTTCTGCAAGAATCTCCCCCGTCATTGAAGATTCAGAACTGCGAAAGCGACGGGAAATGTTCCGAAATACGAATGAGCGTCACTCTTGATGCCGATATCCGACCGCTCCAAGTCCTCCAAGGGATGGAGAGCTGTATCACTGACGAGGAGAAGGCTTGGGATCGAAGGTATTGTGCGGACAGCGAACGGTGCGCCGAACAATGTTCACTGGGCGGTGTTAAATATAAGGCGGTCCACGGGATCACTACCGATGATCATACCCTCAAGCTCAGATTATTCACTCACGGAAAACTGACTGAATCTAGGGTTTATCTCTTGGCCGACCAGAAACATTATCAGTTATTTCATCTCAAAAATCAACAGTTCTCGTTCGAGGTCGATGCTTCTAAGGTTCCTTGTGGCGTCAATGCCGCTCTCTACTTCACCTCGATGAAAGCTGACGGCGGGTTGTCGCGCACTAACAAGGCTGGCGCAATGTATGGAACTGGATATTGTGACTCCCAATGTCCCACTGCGCTCAGGTTTATCAACGGACAAGTGAGCTATTCTATTAATCTCGTCTTCGTATTGTGAACAAATCCATCAATTTTTTGAAAACAAGTCACCGACTGATCGTTGTTTACGTCTCGATTCCAACTCATTTAAGGCGAATATTGAAGCTTCTGGGGAGCCGGGAGAGCAAGTGTTTAAAAGTATGGGGGCATGCTGTCCCGAGCTAGATCTATGGGAAGGGAACGGAATGGTCCAGGCATATGGGGCCCATCCATGCGTCTTCCCAAGCATGACGACCTGTGAGGGGGAGGACTGCACATCCAAGGGTGGGCTATGTGATCATTCTGGATGTGGACTTGCGTCGCAGAGGGTGGATCAGAATACTTTCTACGGGCCCAACAAGACGATCGACACCCGTCACAAGTTCACCGTCGTCACTCAGTTCCTTACCTCGAATGCAACCACTCAGGGAGAGCTGGTCGAGATCAAACAGTTCTATATCCAACATGGAGTCCTCATCAAGCATCGGGGCATCAAGCTTCCCGGACAAGACTCGTCGCTCAACTCGATCACCGATGCGTTCTGTTCGATCATGAGCAACACGACTGGAACCGGGAGCGCGTTCCGAAGGACCGGCGGGCTGGAGGCGATGGGACGCGCTATGGAGAAGGGATTGGTGCTCGTGATGGGGCTTTGGACTGACGAAGTCACTGACTCCTTAGGATCAATACAGAAAATACCCGCTACTAGGAAAAATTCTCTCAAGAGAATCAATCAACTCGTTTGTCCTGAAGAAACTCGCACCCAGCCTTTCATTCAAAAACATCATCCTCACGCGTCCGTTCTATTCTCAAATATCAAAGTCGGACCTATCACAAACTTCCCCTATAATGATCTGCAGGATTATAGTTACCAACATCAGGTCCATGCTAATGAACACACAATCATTTAACTCACTTTTCTTTCCTCTCTCGTAATTTCTGTAGGATCATATTATGTTTAACAATTCTGAATATTTACAATAAAATTCATGCATTTGTTTCCACTTATGTATCTACATGAATCCCAAAATCACAAGCATAAATACTGATATATTTTGCCCTTATCTAGCTCATATTGGTAGTTCTAGCTTTCCTCAATCCCAAGATGATTTATTTTTTATTGATTTTTTGGAATTTTTACTCTCTGTATCACTTTGAATATTGTTAACTTCCATTCAAGATTTGTTCACAGTGATGTTTTGTGTACTAAGGATTACTGTCAAGCAGAGTTTTAATTTTTTTAAGAGACTTCAGCTTCAAAAAAAGATACAAAATGCTTTCTCTGGATACTAGCTTTCAGCTCTATTCACATAGATCCTTTAGCTAAGAAACTATAACTCATTGCAAGTAAGATTGTTGGTGATAAACCACTTGGAAATCTCACTTAAAAATTGGTTGATCCTCATCATAACAAACAATGACTGATTGTATTATTGAGATTTAAAAGGACACCTAGACATTTTGATTTTTAGACGGCCAATCAAGTTGAACTCATTCCATGCATTTTCATGAAAAAGTTCATCAAATAGTGATTCTCTACCCTTTGTGAACTGTTAACATTCTTTGTTTTAGGAAAATATTCAAATAATTCCTTTTTGTTTGAGTAAATTAGGATGGTTCACAGCTTAACTTGGGTGCTATTTTTAGAGCATTCATCATTGTGTTTTTACAAAATTGTCCAAAAGTTCAGATTGGTCCAAAGCCAATGATTCACAAGGTTCCACAAAAAAATGTGAAATTGGATTAATGAATGTGCTAAGAATTGCCTCAAAGCTCAGATGTGAACTAGCCTATTAGGAGGGTTCACAATTGAACTTCAAAGTCATCTTTGGGGTGTTTCTGATCAAAAATTTACAAATTTTTTGTGATGCACAGAGGGTTTTGAAACCACAAAATCTGAAAAAAAAAATCAAAACATATATATACAGTCGTTCTAAAATGGAATGAGAATCGGTCTCACCAATTTTGGAAAATCCCCACTAAAAACGACTGTAAAATGTTACTCATTAACACCTTGAAAATGGCTCCCAAGTTCAATTGTGAACCCACTGATTAACATGTTCAAACCACTGTTCAAAACATTCAGGTGTGGTATTATAATGGTAATTTCAATTCAAAATGGGCAAATTCCGTATGCATGTGCAGCAAAAAGTCACAGGCCTTTCTAGCCGAGCCCGGGATCGGTGACATGGGGCGTGAAATCCCAGCCCTCCACTGATCGCGTTGTCCATGAAGAATGCTTGAGGCTGACGGAACACTTGCACCAACCCAACGTACATAAAACGGTCAACGAGACATACATAACGCAAAGAAAAGGTTTATCGGATTCGGAGTTGGCTCGTGGACCGAAAGAATATTCCATACAACATACACGTATCTCCCGACGGACCACATCACTTGGAAGGACTCCTGGCTTTGGAACTATGGTCAGCTATCTCAAGTTGCGATCGATCCTACTTACCAACCAAGTCATAATGTTTCCATTCCAAGCTATTCTCAGTCTGACTTAACTTCCCTCGATCGACTCATTGATTTAGGATCAATACGGTAAGAATTTTGCGGTTTTACTCGGAAACCTATTGACATGGCTATTTCGATCGTCTGATTCTGGTCGGCCATTTTTTTGACGCGCTAAGACGAGTGGGGGAATTTCATCGGGTGAGTCTGAAATGCCGGATACCTTTGATCAAAGGATCTATGGATCTCAACCTGTGTGATTCTTGAAATTTTTCCTAGGGACCTTTCGGATGAATCGGACGCAGGTAGTGAAGCCAATCAGAATGAAAGGCATTCACCCACGGTCGAGCCACTGGCTGATTTACCCGAGCCAGATGAAATCAACGATATGGAAGTCGACCGTTCGTATTTTTTCTTGGATATTTTCTCGCTAGGTTCAGTTTCGGGTTTTGGACGGGCACTAATAGCCAATTGGACTGCTTTTTTGCATAATCTAGATGTAGGTTCAAGTAACGCAGTCGTATTACACGACGATAAAAAATACTATCCTCTTGCTTCGGGTCAGTCGGAATTTGTGTCTTCGCATTAGCTCTGCTCCAGGCTAAACTTCAGATCCGTTGCGGCATTCAACAGAGCTGTATGGTCCCGATGTCGAAACCATGGTGGAAGAAGAAGATGCTCAACCTCTTACGGAACCGATCATCAATCCCATCAAAGTCCGCAAATTCACAATTGTTGAAAAGGGTGAAGCCGTACCCGAGACATCCTTCTCAAAGCAGTTGAGTTGATTATTCACACTCAGCGGAGGACGGACATCCCATTGATTATGCTTTCACTTCTTGAAGATTCATGGCTGACCTCATGAGCCATCCTGAATCCGTTCGAAATGTCGCCGTCGTAGGCCATCTTCACCATGGCAAAACAGCTTTACTCGATATGCTAGTCCATGAAACACACGATTTTGAATGGGACACGAGTAAACCTGTAAGAATTCAGTCACTATTCTTTTTTTATTACTCTTTTGGTGATTGCTACTTACTTTGGTGTCTACCCAGCTGCTATACACGGACACACACATTCTTGAACAGCAGCGTGGCATCTCACTCAAGTCATCGCCCATGTCGTTTGTTCTTCAAAACTCCAAGCAAAAATCCTTCTTGGTCAATATGATCGATACTCCCGGACACGTGAACTTTTTGGATGAAGTGACGAACTCCTTACGTCTGGTAGATGGGGCAATTCTTGTGGTTGATGCCGTTGAAGGTGTAAGCTTTAACATATCCTGGTTAGATACCAATTACACTAGACCTGATTGAAAGTTGATTTTCCTGTGGGATGCAGGTCTTAGTAAGCACCGACAAGATAATCAGACATCTCGTGCAGGAAGGAATCCCAATCGTTCTCGTTGTGAACAAAGTCGATCGACTGATTTTGGAGCTTCGACTACCTCCTGCTGATGCTTATTACAAATTAAAACACACGATTGAAGAAGTCAATACTGTCATCTCAAGCTGCAACCCAGATCCTATTCATCGAGTCTCACCCGAGCTGGGAAATGTCGGATTCGCATCCACCGAGATGGGATGGTGTTTCAATCTGACCAGTTTTGCCAAAATGTATCGTGATACGTTCTGCACTAGCAAAAAAGATTTGTTTGACATTGATGCATTTGCAAAACGTCTATGGGGTAATATCTGGTATCTTCCTGAGGAGCGGAAATTTGTCAAGCGTAATGTGGGCGGGGAGTGCAAGCGAACATTTGACCATTTCATTTTGGAACCACTTTACAAACTTTACGGACAAGTATGTCACTAAACCAATGTTTAGCTGCCTAATACCATCAACTAGTGTTCGAGTTGCTAATGATATTTTATATTAGGTTTTAGGCTCAGAACAAGGCCCTCTCAAGGAGACGCTGGCTGATCTCGGAATCTACCTTAAACCGTCTGCATACAAGCTTGACGTCCGACCGCTATTAAGAATCGTACTATCTCAATTCTTTGGGCCATCAACAGGCTTGGTTGACATGATTGCATCACACGTTCCCAATCCTCAAGTGTCAGCGGCTGCCAAGTTGAAGTCAAATTACACTGGACCTCTTGATTCACCACTTGCACAGCACATCGAAAAGTCCGATCCTTCTGGGCCCTTAGTGATTCAGATAACGAAGCTATATCCAACTCACGACGCAAATGAATTTAGGTCTTTTGGGAGGGTTCTTAGTGGGGTCGCTCGTGCTGGTGTCAAGGTCAAAGTATTGGGCGAAGGCTACTCGGTAGATGACGAGGAAGACATGGTGGAGGCTCTCATCGAAAGAGTTTTCATCTTTGAATCTAGGTATGCCTTGATCTGGCAAATGTGTCGCTCAGCATTTCTAATGTTTAATTTTTTTTTTTACAGATATTCCGTCGAGACAAGTGGTATACCTGCAGGCAATCTTTGTCTGATATCTGGCATTGACAATTCAATTACTAAAACGGCAACTGTTGTCGAGAGCGCATATACCCGTCCAGGTGGCCCAGGTGAAGGGGAGAATCTGTATATTTTTAAGCCAATCTCTCACCTAACTAAGTCGGTCCTCAAGATTGCGGTTGAACCTCTGAATCCATCTGAGCTTCCTAAGCTCTTGGAGGGCTTACGAAAAGTGAACAAAACTTATCCCTTGGTCGAAATCAAAGTCGAAGAGTCTGGTGAACACGTTATCATTGGAACGGGTGAAATTTATCTCGATTGCTGCTTGTTTGATTTAAGAGAAATCTTCTCCGAAATCGAGATCAAGGTTTCAGATCCAGTGGTCAAGTTTTGTGAAACAGTTGTGGATACTTCGGTCATCAAATGCTATGCTGAAACACCGAACAAAAAGTAGGTAGACGAGTTGCTCAAAGATTTTTGAAATGGTACTCTTACTAACATCTTTGGTGGGCAAGTAAAGGAACAAACTCACGATGATTGCCGAGCCCCTAGAGAAAGGGATCGCGGAAGAAATCGAAACTGGGAAGATCAATATTCGGATGCCTGCGAAAACACTGAGTCAACACTTTATGAACAACTACCAATGGGATCTTCTGGCTTCTCGATCCATATGGGCTTTCGGTCCTGAAATAGATGGCGGCGGCACTAACATTTTGGTAAACGACACACTGCCAACCGAGGTTGACAAGAAGCTTTTGTTCAGCGTTAAGGAGAGTATCAAACAAGGTTTCCAATGGGCGACCCGGGAAGGTCCTATCTGCGATGAACGTTCGTAATCTCTCAAGCCTTTAGCTAATGTAGACCTCAGCTGACCAAGGTATCTGTCGATGACTAGCCATTCGAAATGTGAAATTCAAGTTGTTGGATGCTACTCTTGCTGATGAACCAATCTATCGTGGTGGTGGTCAGATCATCCCAACTGCCCGACGTGTCTGCTATTCGTCCTTCATGATGGTTTGTTTGATAATCGTTAACGTCATCCACTAAATAAAAAAAAGATGAAATACTTATCATGTGGACTGAATTTCAGGCAACACCAAGATTGATGGAGCCGGTATATTACATTGAAGTCCAAGCACCGGCAGATTGTGTCCCTGCAGTTTATCTCGTTCTTGCCCGTCGAAGAGGTAAGAGATAGAATTACGTCTGAAACAATTTGAATATGCGTGATAATGTTAACCATACCGACACGTCGCTTCTCGGGATATCTAGGTCATGTTACCCAAGACATTCCCAAGCCAGGATCTCCTCTGTACACTGTCAAAGCCTATATACCTGTCATCGATGCCAACGGGTTCGAAACCGATCTCAGAACTCACACTCAAGGTCAAAGCTTTTGCATGCAAACCTTTGATCATTGGTCAATTGTTCCTGGAGACCCCACGGATAAGTCGATCACCCTTCGCCCATTGGAACCCGCTTCCGCTCAAGCCCTGTCAGTCAATTTTCATTTGTCTTCGCGTTCTGAGATTTCAAGACCAGGTGTACTCAATCTGAACTATCTGTGCATTCTCTATAGTGCTCGAGATGTCGCGCTAAAAACAAGACGGCGGAAAGGGCTGGGTGATAACATGTCGGTTGCAAAAGTAAGCAGACTTGTACTCTTTTCATCCTCACAGTACGCCAAATAGCTTATCTCATCATCAACATCATCTTGTGCATTTTTATTCAATAGTACATTGAGGCGGATCTGGTGGCCGCCTTAATTGCTGCAGGTCAAGAGAACTTGCTAGGATGAAATAAATAAAAAAAGAACATGGAAAAAAGGTTGATCAGTTTTGCTTTGTCTTGTGGTAATCATCTGCTTTGGAAGGCTGATAGACAGGGGTAAATCATATGCCATATACATATATATACACTGTACATATGGACACATGTTTATTACTTTGACTGTGGTCTTATGTTCCTTGTCACTCACCTACCACAATTGTCTACACAAGCATCTCTGTGTAAGGACTAAACTAGTCCTTCACTGGTTGTGTCAGATGACACTGGCATGGCAATAAGGGGGTTCACTTACTGCTGATCTTGGAATCAGCAGTTGAACTTTGCTAGAATGGCTATTTTAAGGTTTTTGGGAAAGTAATAGAGTTTGGGGCTTGTTTAAACAACTCCCAAAAAATGGAGAGTTGACTCCCAAGCCCCTGAATCCCCAACTTTTGGGAGTCAAACCCCTAAAACCTTTGACTGGTTTGGGAGTTGACTCCCAAAAAAATAGGGGCTTGGTTAATTGACTCCCAAGAATTGGAGAGTCAACTCCCAAACCCCCAAAAACCCCAGATTTCCCCCAAATTCCCTGACTATTGGGAGTTGATCCCCCAAACCCATCAGCGGGTTTGGGAGTTGGATCCCCAAGAATTTTAAATAAAAGAAAAAATAAAATCCCTGGTGGGGAAGGGAGTCAAAGCCCCAAAACCCACTGGGTTTTGGGGGGTTGGCAAGCCAAAAACAGCCCCCGACGGCTGGGAGGGAATCCTCCCTGCCATTGAGAGCACACTCTCCAGTCTGAAGCCAAGCTTGAGGGCGTACACTCTCAACTTGGCCATATCAAGCGTGTACACTCTTGGCCGCTGAGAGGTACCCGGCCGTTGAGGGTACCTTTCAACGGCCAAGAGAAAGCCTCTTGGCTGTTGAGGGAACGGCCAAGGGTTCACCTTGATGGCCAAGAGGTACACTCTTGGCCTTTGAGAGTGTACTACACCACAAACTTCATCCCACCACGGGGCAACGTGAAATTTCATGTGGAGCCAACCTCCCTTACCCTGCCCAGCGGTTTTGGTGGGCTTCTTTGCGGGAGGTATTGGCAGTCGCAGTTGGTGCAACCTCCCACGCCGGCTTCACGTGCTGCCCCGGTTGGCATAGCAGCTGACACCGGCCTTCTGTTGGTGCTGCTGTCGGTTGATTATTTGACAAGGGGCTTTTGTTGGCGACCTCACCTAAGCCGCATGGCATAATTGCTAACCAAAGGCATTCTGAGAGCTAACCAACAGCACCAACGGAAGTAGCCTGCCATTGCCCCAACGTGAAACATTATTATTATAATGATCAAAAAAATCTCCCAGCCAGATCAACAAATTGTAATTGAAACCGGTGTGAGAACTCCTTTGGGAATGGTGGCAGTCCTGTGAGGGGGAAATAGCAGATGAGATATATCACGTATGTAATGATCTTCTACAACTGTTACGGCTTGTTTGAAAGACCTGCCCCTCTAATGTACTACACAAGAGTTAACACAACAATTTATTCATTGTTGTGGCAAAAAACTGATGATAGAGAAAACTATGTGTAGCAGTCTCTTATCAAACCTAGATCAACGTGGATTCAGCAGACTATTTGAGTGGAAATGTTGAGTAAGAGGTGTTTTTTGTTTATATGTTTATGTGTTTTGAAAAAAATGATTGACGTATGTACTGATAATGAATGGTAATTTATGAGATACTACTGAGAAAAAAATGTGTTTATTTGTCTTTTCCTTCTTCCTTAACCTTGGTTAGGAGCACAATGGTTTAAGATCACTGTCTCTTGTTTAAGATCACAAGCTGTACTGGTTGTTACTTTCTTTTTCCTATGCTTCTCAATGTCTGAATGATCTCAATGGGGCACTTGATTAATATCACACTGGTTAATGTATGGATTGATTGCTCTGTTCTGTCTGGTTGCTGATCAGATGAGATGCTATGAGATGATGAAAAATTGGAATGAGGGGGGGGGAAAGCCCCTCCTTAAATAGTCTATTTTACAACCCGGGCTGACTTGTGGTTCTAGCCCTAACCTATAATCTATAAATGGCCAACTTGTGGTTCTAGCCCTAACCTATAACCTATAATTTATAATTGGCCAGCTTGTTGTTCTAACCCTAACCTATAACAAATATGCATAAAATCCGGCCAAATTGTGGTTTTGCTATCTATACAAGATTCTCTGTGTACCTACAAACAATGTGGCCAACTTGTGGTTACCCTATGCAATGAATATTGAATATGTAAACAAAGGCCAACTTGTGGTTTGCATTATGCAATAAGCATTTTGTATGCAACTAAAACTTAAATCCCAAATAACTTTTGACTGAGTGGAGCTAGCCTAGTGGTTCCAGTGAGTGACTATGGGTTAAATGACCCCTAGAATGTGATTATTTCATAATACGCCTAAGAATATATGCCCTTCTGCATATTGGACTGTGACTTTATGCAATTTGATACTTGAAACACAATTGGCATACTACACCGGTGGGTATGTTTTCTCATAAAACCACCCACCAGATTTTTTTTTTTTTTTTTCTTGGTTGGAAAAAAACAATCCACTTGTGATGAAACCAGCAGTTTTATTTTCAAAAAAAAGGCAAAAACAGAAACTTATTCGAAAAAGAGAAATTCATCCTTTGGGAACCCTCAACTGGACATTGAGGACAAAACAACAAAACCAGCGAGATTGATGAGTTGAGTAATTAGAAACAACATGTGTAGATTGATCACCTGCAGGGATGATTAGCAAAGTGAAACTCCGTTTATCAACAGATTTTGGAGAGAAGAAAAAAAGTATTTGAGAAGAGCGCGGACGATTCCACTGTTGACGGAATCTTGAACCTCCTTGAGGGTAGGAAAAGAAAAATCTTCTTGGTTCATGGTCTTTGTCAGCCTACGTGATGCCAAGATGTATAATCTTCTAGCTACACGTGGTGCAAAAGCAAGCAAAAAGCTTAAAGGTTTTTGTTTTTAATTCTAAAGGAATAAATTCCAATAAAATAAGGAATTTATGGCGTAAATTTAGTAGGAAAAATGGCCAATTTATATTAATAAAATTAATATAAATAAAACCAGAGGGGCCTGATGAATCAGGGGTGGTTTAATCCCTCTAAGGTATCGTGCAAAAGCAGAGGATTTAGGTACCTGGAACACTGGGGCCTGTGAACAGGTGTGGTTTAAATCCCAGGAAGAATTTAAGGGGAAAATCTCAAGAAAAGGGTTATTACTTACTAGTAATAATCCTATGGGGTCTTGAGGATCTTCAAAGTTGAAACTGGACAGTTGGGAGCGCTCAGAAAGGTTGATTTTGGGTGCTGGGTGATAACTGGGGAGTTTCTTGAGGGTTCTTGAGGCTTTAATAACAGCAAAAATAGTAATAACTAGGCTAATTACAAGTGTAGGGGACTTGTAAATGGTAAGTATGTTTCTATATAGTATTGTAAAGCTGGGGGATCATTATTTGAGCGGTCAGAAGGCCCTTTAAATACCTGTGGAAGACCTCAGGGGTTGCTCAGGGGAGCTTAGTAGGACTTGGGAGCGCTTTGTGGCCCATTTTAGCCCACATGGTGACGCAACAAGGGCTGAAACCTTGGGGATAATATTCTAGAAGTTCCCAGGGGTCATGCACGAATTTATTTGAACCAAGAATATCTCTCAGGAACCTGTGGATGCTTGCTAGTCTGTTACGTGGAGTTATTTCCTTGGAAATGGGCCACAGAATATCCAAGAGGTGGCTTCTGAGGCTTGCTAAACGTGTTACCACTTGGAATATAGAATATTCTAGGTTACTGTAGTATTTTCATGCATATTCTAGTTTGTTTATATTTTTATTACACGTGTGGGGGCTTTGTTGTCACGTGTAGTGAGGATTCTGGGGCGCTTGTGGCCCATTCCTTGGATACTGGTAACCCAGAGGGGGTTATGCGTGTATCCAAGGCGGGTGGGCTTACCTAGCACGCGCGGGGGCTTGAGCCATGGGCTCAATTGTAGTCAGGCGCGCCTGTCAACCGTGCGCAGCATGACTACGCGGCGCGCGGGCTTGGAGACAGTACACGCCACGCAGCTCTATCTTCCAAACTATACACAACAATCCAAATCTGAGACAAGATTTGGAGTATATGCATTTTGTCATGTATAATGCATAATTATTCAGGTGCCCGTGATCTATGGGTACCTGTTAATTCTTTAAGTGGGTATTGCAGGATGAAGGAGTTACAATTAGGGGTACCTTTGGCTGAGGTACCCTAGGTTAATTTGTACGTAGATTCAGAATCTGTAATAATAATTAAAGTTTTCTTTATACTTTATAAGTTATTTGTATATTTTAAGTGTTTTTTGTATTATTTACATAAGTAAAGTAGTTTCTTTTACTTATGTAATATTTTTACTTTATTCTTAGATTTTTTATGTATTTTTATTATTTTTATTTTGCTATGACAGGTTGTCTCTGCCATAGTAGCAAGCTGACAGTCTTATAGTCCCTCTTGTGCAAGAAAAGCTGGAAGTCTTGGTTCAGAACAAGTGTCGAATGGCTATTGCAAGAAAAAAAATGGTGTCATTAACAACAAGACAAGGGGGACAAGATAAATAAAATTGATTGCTTACTGCTGTTGTAACTCGGATGAACCTCTTAGGATAGCCAATCACTTGTTGATTCCCATCCATTGAGAATCTTTCTTGAATTTATGTACATAGAAATATACCATAACTAGTGGTATCACATTGCGTAGTTGTTCATTACTTGATGATCAATCTTGCTTTTAGTCATCTTGTTTACCTTTGATGGAAGATCTACATAAATCTGCAAAGTAAAACACATCGCTCAAATATTACTCATAAAAATGTAGCTGGCTGATGAATTGAGTACTCACGGAAGTTAAAATTGCCTTCCAATTTGGCACAGGACCGTTGATAGTTATCCTCTTTGTCTTGGTGATGTTGGTCAAAATCTAGCAAAGACAATAAAACAAAGAATCAGGTTATGTTACTAGGAGTTTGCAACATGAAAACTCACAAGTACATGTTGGATTTCACAGTATTTCTTCCTTCTCTTAGTTTTCTGCTACATAAATTTCACACACATGTCACCAGTATTGTAGTTTACCTGAGACATGAGTGATTGCGTGGAAGGCTTCTCTTTCCTCATCCTTCCACAACCTCACTTTCTGTCTCAGGTAAGTCTCTCTGTTTCTTTCTCTGATGTTTTCTTTTCTTCTTTCATTCTCATGAGGTTGTTTTCTTTCTTCTCATTACTGATACAATGAATCCTTCCACAAACTGATCACTTTCTGTCTCAGTCCATCTCATCAGGTTATGAGCACCATTGCGCTCTGACTACGCGCTCGCACCTTTTA